GAATTTTGCCAGTCTGGCTTGTAGAAAGTCAGAGTTTTTCACTAAAGACTTTCACCTCCAGTTGCAGGAATTTGTCTGGATGGTTGTTGTTTGGCAAAACGGAGAAGTCCATGTTTCTGTCCTGTAGAGCAATAATGAAAACAACCCCAGCTTCAGCTTCCTGGCTGTGCATGCTCCTTCTATTATTAATGATGTGAAGAAGGATACGACAGTTTCCTGAAACTGTATCTGACCCTGTTTGGTGTCAGGCTCACTTATATCATCTACCAATGATAAAAGATTGTTTAGAAGTGGCAGAGTAGACAGGACATGTTTCTGTAAGTGCCTAGCTTAAGTTTTCAAGGTCAAGGTCTATTTTGATAGATACATATGTGCTCATTAAAGCTAACAGAGTAGCAGTGAGTAGATGCATGAGACACTTAAATGCATACCAGCACTTCCTCAAGTGACCTGAAAAAAAAAAAAAAAAAAAAAAAAAAAAAAAGCAGCTCCCAGTGCAGGGCAAGTCCTCCTTTTCTGTGTCAGTACTAAGAGATTCCATTGTGCTGTGTGGGTCAGTACCATTTACCATGACAGCCATGACATACACTTCTTTAAGTTCAGGGATTTCTTTCACAGTAAATTCTTCCTGACCCTCGGAAATATTAGTTTGTTTCAAGTAACTGATAACAGAAGTTTCAGGGAATTGATTCTCTTCCTGTTCAAGAGAATGGAAAAACCTCCTACTGATTTGAATGGTGTAGTCTCAGTCCCTTCACCTATTCTGAGATTTGGTATTTTCATCATCATTTTATTTATATCATAATTTTTTACTTACAACCAGCAAAAGCAGTCTCCTCATTTTTATTCTAACTTTTTTTCCCCAAAACCTTTCTGTTTTTCTAAAATATGTTTAATTTTTGATGACACTGCCACAGAGGATATGATTTTGAAAGTTGTTTGAAATCCAAGAAAACCTATTTTGTGTCAAATTAATGCTAAGAATTAGGGCATCACAAAAATTTTAGTCTTGTACTTAGACCAGCAAATCAGACTAATTTGTTTTCCTTACGGGAGTTTGCTGAAATCTAAAAATAAAATAAAATCAGTAAACTATTTTTAAAAATGTTATTAATGTGAGATTCTAATGTAACAAACTAATACTTTGATAGACCTGTAAGTTAAAACTACTTAGAAAGCTCATACTTTTTCCTTGAGTGTATTCATTGGTGATTATTTTACAGCATATCTATTAAAAATTATTAACCTGTCAGCTTTCAAGTAGTTAAAGTATTTGTGAGCAGCCACAAAACAGGGAGTAGTGACTGTGTTTCTGAGTGGATGTATATGCTTCTGGGGAACCTACATTTATGACTGTTTCTTCCCAGTGTGATGAAGCCCTGAAACACTAACACACCTTTACAGTGTATCCTAAGGGTCTACCATGAAGCTGCTGTTTTAGACTTACCATGACATGTAGTCCCCCTTTTTCCCTGTGCAGAACTAAGACAGAAGTAATTTGTGTTCTAATATAGCTGGGTAAATAAACCCATCCTTTCTTTCTTAAAACCTTTCCAGCATCTCTCTGAACACAGAATTCTTCGGTGCTACTATAGCATATGATGTGGTGGGTGTCTATGTGAATTACTCACAGACAATACTTTTTTTTTCATTAGACATGACATAACATAAAAGCCATCTCACTAGGTCAGACCTCCCAAGCCCAGGATCTATCCCTGTGTTTGAAAAAGGCAAGAAGAGACTGTTTAGGGAGACTGTCCACACCTGGGTACTTTCTGCAGTTTGTTGTCATTTTACTCCTCCAGAAGCGACACATATTTTTTGTGAGAGTCTCTTCCCAGGCCATTTTTATGTATTTATGGATTTGCTGTCCATAAATTTGTGTTTTTCAGATCTTCTGATACTACCTCCTCTAGAAGCAAATACCAGAATCTCATGACCATTTGTTTAAAGTGCTTAATTTTAACTGATTTCCATACCAGCTTTATCATGGATGCCCTCTTTGTTGTACTGCAGAATTTTAAGAACAAGAGCTCCATGTGCAGCTTATCCATCACTTTCAGAATTATTTAAACCTTAAACATGCTCATCTCAGCCTTGTCCTGTCCAATCTGAAGTATTATTTTTTCAGTCTCATCTCGTAAGGCACCTGGTCTATCCACTTGCTCATTTATTTGCATTTTTCCACCCCATTGTTCATGAGAACACAGCAACCATAAATGAACTCAATGTTCAAGCTGTGGGTACACCACAGTTCCAAAAATGGGAAAAACTCTGCCCTCTCCTCTGACAACTGTAGCCATCAGGTTTTGGCTTTTTTCCTGCTATTCTTGTAGAGCTAATAACTTCAGACTACAGTAACCAATGACACTATGATTTTTCTACACCTCTGTGACTTTCAGTTGCAAATTCAGTATCTTGTAGGAATAGTTTAGGCTATTTTCCTTAGCTGCTACCTTACATTTACCCACATCAGTTTATTGGCTAGTCTTGCCTAATCACTCAGTTTTGTGAGTTTGTTGCCAAGTGAGGCAATAGTTGGTTACCTGGAAGAGCTTAATGTCACCTGCAGAGCTGGAGATCTCAGTTTTTACTCTCTTCCTCTTGCCATTGATAAAATTGTTGAAAAAATATAAATCTGGCATCATTCCTTAGGGAACCATACTGCTGACTCCTTTCCATCCTGAAAGATGACCATTTTGCTTCCAATCCTTAACTAGCTTTTGAGCCATAAAGATTGCTCCTGTAGTCCTGTGTGAATGTAGTTTCTTGAATATCCTCTAACATGGAACCTTGTTGGAGACTTGTGTGTCCACCAGATCTTCTTCGCTCAAGACACAACTGAATCAATGCTGACTCTCTCCCAACAGCCCATGCTTATACAGGTGCTCAGGGATCTTATTGTTATCGGCTGTTATGGCACTAGAACTCCACTCCCTAGTCTGTAGTTCAATGGATCTCCTAAAGTTCCCCTTTTCCAAAGGCAGGAATTACATTGCAATCTGCCAGTCTTCTGGCAGAGTGGCTGTTTGAAACACCACCTTATGCACCATGGCAAGCAGTTCTGTAATCTCCCAATTGTGTTCTTCCAGGAATCTCGTGTGACTGGTACTCTAGATACCTGCTAACATCTAACATACATATTTGGTCTTACATTCTCACATATTTCTTTCAACTCAATACAGCTTCTATGACAACTCTGCTATAAGGAATATGCAGGTATGAGAATACCTGCCACATTTCACCTGGAATGGCTGACATAACTAATTCACTGAACTTCCCTTTCCATCTCTATCAGTCCCCAGTGTCTCTTTCACACTTGTGTTATCAGATGGTCCTACTGACTCCCTAGCTGGCTTCCTGCTTTTAATGTATTTCAAGTCCCTTTTACTATTTGACTATCTTTTCTACAGAGCTCTTCAAATTCTTTCTGAGCACTCAATTTTCTGTTCACAATTGACCTGCTAGCCTTGAGGGCCTATGGTGGTCTTCTCATGCAGGCAACCTTTCAATTTTTAATACAGTTTTAGAAATGCAAATGGCTGCTTCTCTGTCACTGAAGATGATGATGAAAACTGAATGCAAAAAAAATGCAAAAAACCCAAAACCTAAACCACATCCTCCAGAATAAAGCAGCAAATTCCCTCCAGAATAAATGACAATGCAATTAAATTAAAATATTGCTTTTTAAAAAAAGAAAGATGTAGAAAGTAGTGACTATTGTAACTTTTGGTCGCTGCTGTAGGTAGCCAGCATGTATGAGGGAAGAAATAAGGCCACTGTGTACCCGTGTTGTATAAACACTATGCACCACTTAAATCCCTCTCAATCCAACAAACTGATGATTTCAACACAAGTCACTCATCTGTTTTCAATGGATACAGACAGAGTTAAAATGTACTTTTCTATTTTGAGATAAAGCAGACATTCTTGTTAGTGGAATATTCAGCAACAGCAGAACATACATTCAAAATTGTGTGGATGATACCACTGGCTGATAAAAGACCATACTCTGGCCCCTAGTCTGGAGACATCTTTCCTTTTGCTTGATTTTTGGTTGTGATTCAAGTAAGTGCAGGAGTATTAGCAGGACTGTGTACTAAGTAAGTATGAAGAAAATTTAAAATTGTAATTGTTTCTTTTGCTTGTCAATGACTAATTCTACTTGACTTTGAAATGTGTGTTTTGTGATACTAAGGAGTTATACCCAAGAGCCACTGAATTTTCTGTGCATTGAAAATTTTTAATTATACAAACTATAATATCACATTTCATTATGTAGGAGATATTTTGCTTTCTTTACTTTTTAAAACCAGGAGATACTTAATTTTAAATCATACATTAGCACATCATTAGAGTTTGAATGCACAGCAGTAAGATGCCAAACCAAAGATTTTGGCAGTACAGCTATTTTAAAGCACATAACTGATTTCAATGGGATCTAAGACTGCAGTTAAGTATTCTTCCTGGACAGAATCATAGTCCTGATTTGGGGCCTCAGATTTTTAAATTGTGCAGATATCCACATCACATCTATACAGTAGATTCTTTATAGAGAATTTAAAGGAAGAATCACTCAAGTAAAGATGCATTTACTTTTAACTATGAGTAGAAAAAAATTATGCCTTTCAGACTGATCTCTCCAGTTTTCTTGCCTTCAGGGTTTGTGCTCCTACATAATTTACACAGCATGTCTAAAGGCTTGCATCACAAAATGGAGATGGAGGACCTACCCAGTTCCTCTTGACAAGTTCACTGGTCATAGAACTCACGCGAGATAGATAAATATTCCTCCACTGAATAGTAGTACTCTGTTATACCAAGCTTTCCATATATCAAGGCTCACAGAGTGGCATGTCTGTCTGCAGCTGCAGAAACATGCCTAAGTCAAGAGGCAGAAGGAATTTGTTTTATGGACTACTGTAGCTGTACCTGCTGCGATGCAGGGCTCAATGGATTTGGCTACCAAACACAGATGCCCAAAAGAGGAAAAATGCAAACAACAAAAGAAACTTTATTTTTTATTGAAAATTAAAAATCATGTGAATCATGTACAATATTTTCTCATAAGGAAAATTATAGCTGTTTCATAAAGTTTCACAAAACTGTAAAACATTTTGCTTTTATGAAGACTTTTTCATAAAACAAAGGTAAAATTAAAGTAGTATTACAAAGCTATTTTCTAAATCATCAACAGAGAACTGAAAATATTTAACATTAATTCATACAAGTGGCAGGAGGAAGGACTCTTCCATTTGTAAATCTGCAAGAGGACACAAAGGTATAGAGGGGCATGGGTTTTTTGTTTCAAAACGTTTAAAATCAAGTGACATGTTAAAAGAGTATAGACATGGATTCATAGGATTGTACAAGTTCTAGGACTGCATTTCTCTACACTACCTCAAACAGTGCAACAGTGATTCAGTGTAAATTTCTACAGTGTTTCATTGATTCAATACTTGTGTTCAAGTATGTGTCCATGAGAATGATCAAAATCCCTACCTAGCGATTTTAATTTTCTTGTTTATAATATAAGTTACAGTAGATTATCCCCTTCAGTATGTTTTTAAATCAAATGCACTGATTTCACAATACATTCTGTAATAACCTGTTCAATAATGTTAGCTTACTCACCTCAACATCTGTTGCAAAATACACAAGATCATTCTGACTCTGAATGCCAAAAATATAATAAAATTAAAAAGGGCTTTATTTCCATATACAACAAAACTATTCAGCTAAGTTAAAATAAATTCAAGATAGCATGACTTTTTTTTTGGCAACAGAGAGATGACCCTACTGAAAATAAACATTTAAAATACTAGTTACTATTTTTTTAAAATTCTGATAAATGTATCCAAAATTGTTCATATAAAAATTAATTATGAAAATGTCAGAGGATAAAACAAGTTGGCTGTCTAACCAAAACAACTAAGGATGTCTGGCAGGCAAAAATAAATTAATTTGATTAAATTATATGTAATCTGATAATATTTGGTCTGAAGAAGCGTGCGTGTGTGTGTGTACGTGTGTGTATGTGTTTATAAATAATAAAATTGAAAGAGCTGAGAGCCAGCCAGCCTGACAGAGGTCAACTCTTTTGTTGCATTTTTTGCGCATAAAAGTCCCTGCATGTCTCACAGCATCGTTGATACCACCTCATGTCTTGACAGAGGTTCTTCTCTCTTATCACCCTGCAGTACACAGGCCACTGGTCTCCCAGGCACTTGAATGTTAAAGCAGCTGTGAAACAACAACAAAATCAAATATACATTACTGTTACATTTAATAGTGAAAAATCAGGTAGCAAAGTTGAGAAGGATACCAGAAGTGTACCTGGGGAAGGGAAAGGAGAACAGACGCAGATATTCAACAACAACAACAACAACAACAAATCCTCCTGCTGTCAATATTTTCAACAATAAATATTTTTAAGGCCAGTTTATAAATTGGATTCAGCTTCATTGAAAGTAACTGGTTTAATGTCATGCAGCTGTCCCCTCATGAGAGAGTGAAGTCCATCTTTCTGCCCTGTACAGAGGTGGGCTGAGGCTAGGGCCAGGGCCAGGACTAGGTGGGGGCTGCAGAGCCAGTTCTAGCAAAGCTGCACGAGGCAGCAGCTTCAGCTGAAACTGCCCTCACTCTGAGATGGAATTTGCCCCTAGAAAAACAAAAAGCCCTCAGCTTGAGTAATACCAGAACAGGGTTCTCAATGACTCCTATAAGGGGATTTTTTAATTTTTTTTTTTTTAATCAGAGGCAGGTAGGGAAATGTGGGAATCAAAGCATGGAGAATACTGCTGGTTTCCTGATCAGCTTTTGTTAAAGAAATCAAGACTTTGTGCTATGCTGTCAATCAATGGAAACTGAACAAAACTGCATGATGTTTTACATCATCTTTCTTTGGGAGTGAAATAATCTACTAGACCTTTAGTTTTGTCTGGTTCTTCATTCAAAGGAACAGAAATACATTGTCTTGCTAGCTTGAATGCTAGAGATGCCACACTATGAGGCACTCATGAGGTTTGAAGACAGTTAGCAAGTCCCATGGTACATTCTGTAATGCAATTCCAGTTTATCTAGAAAATGAAACTACAGTATGGAATCAATGCCAGTTGATATGTTTGCAAATGGACTTGTCCAGGCATAATTACTGCATTTTGGGCTTCTCAGATGCACAAACACTGTGCATTTCTTACCTTCTTGACCTTTTTGTTTCCTCTCCAAATACATTAAAAATGTTTTGTTTTTTTTTTTCTGGTTTCTAGTGGGGTTTTTTTTGGTTTTTTTTTTTTAATTGTCTTCAAATACACTGGTCTGACTGCATCACCCTCTTCTTAATCACTCCAGTAGGTCTTCTCTCCTCCACATCAAATTCAGGGTATCGTAACCTTCACATCTTTCATGTCTTCAACCACTTATTTATGTTGCTCTATTAGTAGTCTGTTGCCACTTTCTAACTGTGGGAATCCCTGACTACCAAATTCTTCCTCAGAAACCTTCTAAAACGATGCCAGCCTGAAAAGCCATTGTTTGATTTATTCTACCTCCTCCCATGGTTGCTATAACTATTCGGTTCTCTCCAGCAGTTATAAACTTTCAAATGCAGAAGCCTGACTTGTACTGTATGCCTGTACTATATGTACAAAACAGGCATATTTTCATGTGTGTTGCCTTTTTTCTCATGAAGCCATCTGTAAATCCATTCACCTGTTTCACTTACAAAAGCCTCTTAGAGTGTTTATCATAGAAGGACTCTGGTACCAAATTTGGATCTTTGCACATTCAGTTATTCAAACTGTAGTGAATAAATGGAATTAATATGGGAAAACAGTGGAAAATAGGACAGAGAAGCAGACACCATCCAAAAATCACCACAGACACTGAAATTAAAAAGTCACAGATTATTTGAGATACTCTCCTCTTTTAATAGAAGGGAAAGAGAAGCTATTAATAGTGTAGTTATAGAAAAGCAGAGATGGTGCAATCCACATCAGTTTCCACTAGCCTTACCCCCAAATCCAGAGGATCTGTACTGCATAATAGGAATGGAACTGGAGGCCAAAATGATCAATATATTCAAAAGAAGCATTGCATTATGTATTTTGGAGATGTTAATGTTTCTACCGTCTTGGATTCTGACTCCTGGTGGATGAGGTTGACCTGTAGATTACTAAAATCAATGCTACATAATCCATTCTATGAGGACAATGTAGGCCAATCTTTTTTGTGCACTTCACATTAAGTCAAATTTTAATGAATTTGATGCTGTATTTTTTCTGTGAAACTCTGTGATTCACTTTGCTCTGTGACACAAAGCTGCTTATACTTCATCAGAGAGAGAGCATCAGTGATGGGGTGATGGCCTCTTGCTTCTGAGAGATCAGTTGAACAAAGAAAGATAAAGCATGAAGGGCAACCTTACAACAGTGGAATAGCACAGGATAGGGGCATAGGCAACAGCTGCCATCTCATCCAGCAAACTGAAACAATGACTGCTACACAGAAATGTTTAAGGGTTAAAAACTTCAAAGAGAAAAACCCTTCACTGACTTAAAGGAAGGATTACATACAGCCCGAAATTTTAGACTTGCTTTACATGCACGAGTAATCTATTTGACAGGAGAGTTTATCATAACATGGGCTCTGGAAAATCATCTGGAAAGAGTATGCTATTTTACAGCAAGCCTTTGAATATTCCCCAGTCATGCTCAAGATGAATAATCTGAGGGAGCTAATGGCAAGACCATAATCATCAAGCCACTATTAACAGAATTAACAGTTCTGTAAATATGCAGTAACATAATTTTTTTAAGACTAACAGAGACCTGAGTTCCTCCAGGAACAGCAAATAATCTCATCATGTTAGTAATTTTCCCTCATGCATCCTAATCTATGAGGCATAGATTTTAGACATTTGAACTAAATAAAAATGGAAAAAAACTATTTGTACTTGAGGAACAAGGACAGACCTCCTTGATCTCATAAATAGCGTGAGAACATAGTCTGCAGAGCTTTTAAAGAGAAAACAAGGCATTTTCTTACTTTAGAAATGTTTGATAAAATTGAATGAACAAAGATCTATATATACACTTATATATATAAGCATATATAATATGTTTATAATGTCTCTACTATAAACATATTTGTATCTAGGATGTTTTGTGTCCATAATATCATACAGTCCCATAAAATGGTCTTTCCTTGGATAACAAAACCCTTCATCATTATGAGGTACAGTCTCTGATGTACACACTGGAAAACTGAGGTAGAGAGATGAGTCTCTACATAGAATATACATCTCCTGAGTCCTAGCCCTCCGTTTTTAATCTGGGATTGTCATTACTCTGTGAAGAGAAAGAACTAAAAAGAGTTTTCCAGCAGGAATGTGTCATTTTGACTGCTTACCTAACCTGGGTGATGTTATTGTGTTAACATTAATTTTCTCATTGCAGGGGTGGAGATGACAGGGTCTGTAGGCTGCAGGCTTTTCTGAGGAAAAGCATTCATTGCCATGCCTTCCGGTGATCTTGTGCATGCACTGGATGACTCGAGACTGCATCCCTTTGCCACAGGTGACAGAGCACTGGAACACACAGGAGACACACGTTCATTGGAAAGGTATTTTTGCCTGTAAACATGAAAGTGAAATGCCAGTCCAAGTGAAGTCTGTGGTCAGCATTCCAACATTTCTGCCTTCCATTCCGTTAGGTAAATGAAAATCAATTAAAAAAGCACAAATAAATTGGCAGTATTGTTGAAGGACTGATTCCAGCATTCTGTTGCTGTCAAGATCCATTTTGTACAGCCTGTGATGAAACACAGCAATGTGCCTGAAGGGAGCAGGGGCTTGTTCTCTTGTATTTGTGTCCTAATTTACTCTTATTAAAGGTAAAAGTGGTGGAAAACTAGAAAATGCTCAGAGACACTGATGGAGAGAAGTATTTTTAATTAAGCTATTACTCCTGCCAGTGAAAAGTTCTCTTTCTACCAAGCAGAGTGCATGACTCCTGTCTTTCCGTGACAACTACGTGTTTTCAGGTGGATCCCACAAATGAAACACACAACATGAGACATGCTGACTGGCCTTTAACCAACCTTCCCAACTTGTTGCCACAGAGAATGAGGTGAGAAAATCAAACAGCTGAACACTGTAATGCTGGTAACATTCTACTTCTATCACAGTAACATAATATATTAGAATGAAGACTTAGGCAGTGCTATATAGATGCATACAAAACATTCCAAACCAACAAAATACATGTTTCCCCTTCACTAATATTTGTTAACAAATTTTCACAGGGCATGAATTAGTTTTGTGTCCATTGACATATGTTCCATTGCTTTAACTACAAATTCATTTTTAAAATTATCCAATTTCTCCTACCCACTAATGATTTTGACTCAGGTAGCCACAAATTTCATAAAGCTCTGGAGAAATTTACTATAGAGGACATCTTCAACTATTAATCAATTTCTTGCAATGAATGGTATGAGCACTGGCTGAAAATTTATGCCACTACTATCCACATAATTCTGAAAATATTTTTATTCTAAAAAATCTTAATTACATACATATTAAGAATATATTTCCTCAGGAGGCTTCAAGAAGCAGTTGAAAAAAATACTGAAATGAGAAAGACAGTGAGAGGGTGCTATAACAAAAGAGGTTTCCCAACCATCCTGTCTCAAGATGGAGATGGAGAAGTACAGTTTTCTGAAAAAAAAAAAAAAAAGAAAAAATTTGAGCATAGGAAAAACCAAAAGTGTATTTACCCTTTACTTTCATTATCTGTGTGCTTTTGAGTGACATGAGGAAAGATTTACCCATGCCAAACCAGAAGTAGAGGGCTTGAATCCAATTAACTGGAGGGGAGAACTGGATTTGAAAACACTAGACTTCTGCTGACAAAATGGGCTCCACTGGTTTATCTGCTAAGTGACAGTGCATAACAATTCATGTATGCAGGTGTCTTTGTGGAGATCACTCTGACAGCAGTCACATCTTTTCTGTATCAAATGAGCTCTGGCCAAAATCTTCTTGTGACTGTAATGGAGACAATATGCAACCAGCAGACAGATCTCTCTCTCGGCTAATCAGTGTTTAGGTCCCAAGTTTCTATGCAGAGTTTGGCAAGATTTTGGTATTAAAATCTTAACTGGCGAATTAACATCCTTTTAATAGCTGAGCTGCTACTGGCCTTTGTGAGATATTTCAAAGAGCATTATGAAGCAATACAATGTGGTATCTTCTATACAAAGATGTATACATATTTCAAACAATTAATTTTAGTCTTGCATGACCTACTTATTAACACCACAACTTTAGAGGAAGAAACTGACAATAAAGGATGATAAATTAAAATGTCTCAGTTCATATAGGAAATATGTGGCAAAGCAGGAAAGGAAATTTGCATTCTGTTTTGTCTTCTTTTATTTTCATAGATATGTACTACTTTTTAACTTTGCATTTATTCTTATTTTATAAAAAAATGAAGACTTTTGTTAAGTCTTGTAAGATGTGTGGGGAAAACTGTGAAGAGGCAGGACTACCAGACTGCAATCTAAAAATTTCAAAGCCAGCCTCATCAGTTTACAAGCAGAGAGGTTTTTCCAAACCACTAGTGTTTTAAAATCCACTGAGGATCTTATACTCGAGCTGTGCTCTTCCATGTTCACACATCAGCAGCAGCAGTAGCGGTGTCTGACTTCAAAATTAAGAATTCTACTGACTGGAAGCCAGAAAAAAAATAGTATATTTTTACCATATCGTTATTATGTCACATTCAAAGTAGTGTGAAATAGTATGAAATAGGGAAAATACACTTCAGGTACAGCATTCAGCAGTGCATTTGCTAGATACACAGACAAACAGTGTGATTTTTGTTTGTCTCTATGGAGTTGTCTTAAACTTGAATTTGTGCTGCATACACACCAGCTAACTGCTGGTATAACTGAAGGCAGCCACTGAATATTGGAGGATAAAAGCATCCGTAATATTTTTCTTTTTCACTCTGCAAGGCTATGGATTTGGTTCAATTTCACTAGGAGACGCCTCAATTTCTGCAAACCAGCTAGATGCAACTTAAAGCCACAGCTCTGACCCTCATTTTGATATTCATTTTACTGCATATGCACGTGTACATTCTAGCTGAAGCAGACTTCCAAAACTGTCTCCTAAGCTTGCCTCAGTTTGGGATTTCTCTCACTGAAAATATTCAACCTCAGGCAAATACCTCCCACTGGATGTGCAGATGTCACATTTTAGGTAACACTTGTACGTAGTTAAAGCTGCATAGCTTTTGCATACTTCTGGAGTTTCCATGTTTAAAACTGTAACAAAGCTTTCAATTTACAGGAAACAAAAAATACTTTCACTTTTACATATTAAGCAGTGAATTTAATCAGAAAGCAATCTATCTGTCATAAGTGCTTCTATTTTCCATTACTTTATACATAAATATATATTAATATAAAGCTTACATATATAAAATGTACAGAAAATGCCCACTCCAATCTGTAGCAACGTGCATCAATTCAGCAGATCTCAGATTAATTTCAACCCCAGGTTTTATTACTAGTGAATGAAGAATACTTTTCTATAGCTCTTTTTCCCACTGCTTCCACCTCCCAGATGTCACTCTTGCACATGCTATATTTTATTTTTGTGGTGATTAATTATATTTTACTTCTGACTGTTCAGATGACCTAGACTTTAAGGCCATGTAGCTGATTAGCAAAAATTCCCGTAGGACAACTGTGTTTGTAGGTTTAGGCTAAATGTTCTAATATGCAGCCAGAGGTTTTTTATGTAGCTGTTAATCTGTGCATTTTGGACACAGTCCTAAAGGTACTGTAAAACCGTTCAAGCAGTAAGACATGTAAAACATTCCTGTTAAAGATTACAAAAAATTCCTTGATAAATATAGTTAACAGCTATTTTTTAAAAAGTTTTTATTTCTTTCAAATAAAATCTACCCACCCTGCTTGAATTTTGTCCTACTTCTAAACTTCTTTTAGACATAATTTCAAGGACAGAAACCTAGGTGTTAAATATAACAATCCTTACATTTGGCATGCACACCCGTTACCCAAGATTCCTTCTTTCTGTTCCCTGCCAAAGATATATATTCTGGAGAGAATGCATATTCCCAAGGCCAACAGCTGAGAAAGGTGCTGTAATGCATTAGCTGCTTCCAGCTGGCCTTCATAACAAGTAGGAATTCCTAAATTAAGGGAAAAATTGTCACTGGCAGACAATAATGGTCAAAATGCAACTTTCTGCCAAGACAACAGGCAATCACTGCAGAAGCTGATACAATCCACAATGAAAAACTCAATTTCTGACAATATTAACAGAATTGACTTGGACAATTTATTTTCAAGAGTAGATGGATTGTTCAGTAAAAGGTTTTCACAAAACTAAGTAGCATTCAAAGCGGAGAGCAATGTGCTCATAAGGAAACTCAGTGATGAGTTCTACTGGAAATTATTAGCAGAGCATTCCTAATCATTTATGTATAGGTTCATCAGTTCCAGCATTTAAGCGGCTTCAACCTCTGCATAAAGCGAGTGTGAAACAAGGTTAGAAAGCAATCAGACTTAGCAACAGGATTCATATTTGCTAACATGCTTGCAATCTTTTTCCGTATCTTGTGTTTTTATGAAGTTTGCTTTTGAAGGCAGGTAGTAGATGAAGTGGTGCATTTGTTTTCAACAAAGACTTTAGCAATATTCTTAAAGGTTACCTAAATAAAGCAAATAATCTGGAGTTTAAGCACTTTTTTTTTGGTTGTTTTTATGAAGGCATTTGTGAATAGTGTAACCAATACAAAAAGAGGGACTAATGGATTCAAACATAAGATGGAGTCTGAGTTCTCCAATCCATCATTTCCAGGAAGGTCTTTCTGCCTCTCTCATTTCTGACACACCCAACACCTCAGTACGTGAATGCCAAATTTAAAATTCAGAACTTGTGCTAAGTTTAGCTGAGAAAATTCTACTGTTGGTCTCTCCTAAGTTTAGCAAGTTTGAGTTGTCCTTATTTAGTTTACTTTTCTCCTTTTTTTCCCCCTTCTTTTTTTCCCCTTCATTTTTTCTTTTTAACTCTTCTTTCCAGAGTAAGAATTAATACTGGATAACTGGATAATAAAAGAGATAGATTTTAAAGTAAGACAGATAGACCCCCAAGTCACTTTTGATAAGGTGGGCTTAGAGACAAAGTTCCTATGTAGGAAACCCTCATCTCAAGATTTTTTTTTTTTCTTTTTTTTTTTTAATTAAAAAAAAAATCATTGTTAGCTTCCCATGCACAACAATCCAGTTGTTTGTTGAACAATGCAAAACTGCCTTTGGTAACAAAACAAGAAGCAACTGGATGTTTATGAGGAAAACCACATAGATTTTGGTGTAATATGATGATTAATGAAAAAACAAAAAACAAATAATTTTTTCTAGGACAGTATATAAAAATCTATATTAGAGAATATAATTATTCATTTACTCTGAATCAATAGTGGGGTTTGATAGGCTTCAGTTTTAACAGACTTGCTGCACTCAGCTTGGAATAGAAAATTCTTTGACTGC